TCTAATAAAAAAATCCGCAGTAGAATCAGAGTAACTCACATAGCCCAACGGATTAGGTAGCTGAAGTGGCAATAGGCTGCCCATATAGAACCCACAATCGATGGGGAAGAAAGGTTCTCGAGTAACAGCTTCGTACCGGTAGGCGAAGTATAGGGCGGCCCCCCACTAGATAGGAAGTCGATGGATGCAGGTGGCTCGTGACCGCGCTCTGTGGCATTACTTGGGGAAGGCCTATGTTTAGCAGTGGACCTGTGACGGGCTGTAATGATGATGATGAAAATAAAATTTATTTACCTTATTTTTAATAACAGATGCTTCGAGCGCTTTAAAGCACTCATAGTCACGGGTAGGTAAGGTGTTCAACCATACTTAAAATGACATTAACAATTAAAAAAAAATGTTTATGTTGTGTTTATCGGGTTGTTAAAAACCTGGGCCTTAATTTCAATAACATTATGTTCTGTTACAATTTACTAGAGAAGTGTACCGTAACACGTGCTATTAGTCCAAATAAAACAGGTTTATTTACGTGCTCTTCGACATAATAACAACTTGTGCCGACTGAACGACGGCGAATCATAATCGCAAGTCGTTCGTGACTTGTTTTTGCGTTACGTTCAGAAAGCGGGATGCTCGATAAATTTTTCCTCAATGCGTTGCATTCAGCGGCGCAGGCCGTCCTTATCTTTAACGTCGAAATTAATTTTATCGCCCCCACGAATAGGTCACACATCTATAACCTGTTGAGTTAATATTGTATCTACTGACTTTTTTTATTCAAATGATTCTGTATAAATTTACCTTATATATACTATCGATAAAAATTATAATTGTATGGTTGACCTTCATATTTACAAAAAGTATGATGTTGTTGAACGGGCCTGCTAAACACATTTGAATCATTACTTACTATCAATTTCGTAATAGGACCGTGTTCTGCAGAAATGTATCATTCAACCCGCAAAAAAATTAATTTACGTATGCCATTTTAAAGAAAATACAAGAAATAAACTGAAAAAGTAACCTGTGGTTCATTATATTTGCCATTTTGTGGATTGGATCGTTTCTGCACAACACGCATCAATTTATTTTCCATTTTCCATGCCAGATCGCGGTAAGATATTATGTTATATTATAGACGCAAATTGCACATGCCGTTTAGTGGCGGTGTAAGAATATCCACTATCCAATGTCATCCCGTGGGTGTCGTAAGAGGGAAACAAATCAGGAGATGGGCAGAAACGCTTTTCTAATTACGACTAAAAATAATAAACTGCGATTGCCAACCCACCTGCCAAGCGTGGCAACAATGGCAAATATGCTATGGGACAATCTATGGGGGAGGCCTATGTTCAGCAGTGGATTTTAATAGGCCAAATTATTTAAAAAAAATTTATACTGTTACGTTCTTATATTTTTTTTAATTAAACTAGAGGTCAAAGATGAGGTCTGCGATGGAGTTATGTATTATTCCTAAGTTGTAATGTAAATATTTTACCCATTGTTTCAGCACTATAAACTGGAACTTTATTCATTTTATAAAACTAATTACATACTTAAACTGTTTACCTAATAATGTAAGAAACAATATTTCCCGACCATAACCGTGGTCATTTAATTATTAAATAATTAGTGATATTGGCATAAAAGGTAAATATAAAATAATATGTAACCTAAATTGGGTCGCCAATAAATAATCCACGAAAGGCAAGGTACAGCCTTGGAGTATCTAGCCAACGTTTCGTGTAAAACGAATGTGTGTGTTGCATATGCAGCGTTGTTCGGAAACTTCTATACCGTGATTTAGCCGTTCATAGTTCACAGCTGTGACGCAGGCATCTAGATTCCTAGTACAACCTCTACAGTCCGGTCACGTCTAGGAAGGCGTCACAGTGGCGTCATGGAATAGCCCATTCGCACAACTGTACGTACATTACATAGTCTTTTTTAAATGTCGCCAAAGATTTGTTACCTCTTTTATCGTATACAATGTTGCTATCTGTTATTAAAATCTTTTACGTATCTAAAGTATAGAGATTAGATATTTTATGATTTAACTTTACTTAAAGTTATGAAAAAATTAAATTAAATATCTCATACGGTTTAAAGGCATTATTTTACATTTATTATTGGTTATACCATTTATTAATTATGTTAATTCAATGCATCAACTTATCAATGTTTACGGTAATTCCCTATTCTTATTAGTGGACTTCTTTCGGACGCGCTTGGTCTTCGAACTGAACATTGACGACCATTTTTGTTTTTGGAAGTCCCATGTTGGTTTCGGTCTTACGGTTCCATGTTTATGTAGGATGTATAGCAAACAAGCTTAATGGTTATTTGCTTAATTTTTTTTAAATATTAGCAATGCTATTAACATTATTTTTTTTATTTATTTTTAAAAAACATTACTCTCACACTAGGATTTTCTCCTGTATAGCAGTTTACATACATAAATTTTACAAGGACAAATATTCAGATATGGAACAATAACCTGTATGCTATACAAATACTTGTTCCGTGCGGGATTGGAACCCACGTCCCACAGCGCCGCAACTCATTGCTAAGTCTGCTGCGCCACGGAGCCGTCAACATTACTAATATTCCCTTTAGAAAACAGTAATTTGAAAAACCCGACTGCGTAGAAAAGTTTACAAAAAAAGAGATATTTTTATACCCTATGATACTTCCACATCTAAGACGAATCTAACGACACTCCATATGTTAAACTTAAAATCCGTCAAACCGTTTAAATAGGCATATACATATACTTGAAAAACATTACCCACCTTCTGGGGTAGTCGGGTAAAAATAATGAGCCAATATTGTGTAACTAGCCTAGCATGTCGTAAAAGACTACTAATGGGATATTGGGTTTATGACAGGCTAGGTAATAAGATGCCTATCACATGCACAATTTTCCATCTATATTTTTGGCTAAACAAGGTCCTAAGAGCTCGTTGCTCTTTGGAATCTGCTTACCCCCTCGGTATCACAAGCGTTACGCTTTATATGTAATACGCATGGAAGATGCCCGTGGCAGTGCTAGACCAGATAAACAAACAAGAGCCGTCATTTCAAATCACATTTGTGACGCACTTGACAAATATGCTATTTAGAACAAACGATAAAATATATAGTATGGTTGTTAACTTAACGACAAATTAATAGCATTAACTTTTTATGCTTGCAAGCCGACATATCGCTTAGACGTTTGGTATACAATCGACCGGTACTACGTGCGTGTATTGAATTATTGTTTAAAGAAATTAGTGCTTTAATCTTTTTGTGGTGTGTGATGCTCTGTTGAGTGTTGAGAACAATGTGTATACCGGGCTCTCCTAAAGCCGAAGACAGCAGGTTTAAACTTTGCGCTGTGTTTAAAAGGTGTGTTGCTTTGTCTTTTTTATAGGCCAGAAAACAAAATTTACTAAAACAAGTAATAGGCTTGTAATATTTATTGTTTTTATAAAAATTTGTTTTGAATTAGAATTTCTCCATATTTAACATAACCAGAACAATCCGTCGCAATGTAACTGTTTTTCTCTCGGCAACACGACCTTCGTTTTATCAAAAGATAGTCCGAGATTATTTCGATTATGATTCTAAACGTTTCTCTCTATATTCGTAATCAGAGAACGAGGATAAGTCCACAAAACCCCTTTATAAGTAATAATTAAAAATTTTGTACAACCGACTTCAATATAAATTATTAAGAATAACTCAAAAACTATTGGTCAGACCGTGATCAACCACGGGATCACATGTGAAGCACCAGCTTTCAAATAAAAAAAGAATCATCGAAATCGGTCCACCCAGTAAAAAGTTATGAGGTAACACACATAAAAGAAAACATGCGTGAGTGTCGTGGAACACTCGGTTGGAACGAAGTTCCTTTCATAGTATATTATTATTGATAAACGTATTATATTATTGATTAACAAATATAAATAAATTAATTATTAGCGTCAATTAAAATGAAGCGTCATTTAAAATAAAATACACTATGACACAAAGGGTAGTGACGAAAAAATCTTACACTTTTTGTCGCCTAGCTCCCATCCGCTAAACCCGTACCGTCCCATAAGGAACTTCGTTCCAAACACATACAGTCGAATTGAGTACCATGTCCTTTTTGAAGTCAGTAGAAAAGTAAAAACGACTCTCGCTTGTATGCTATGCGATATCATTAATTGTACTTGGTAATTGATTTATACGATGTTTTATTAGTGTTTAAACTATTTTTATTAATGGAGTATTTTGTGAATTTAAGTAATGTTTTATATTATTAGTACATCACAATAAACCGGTGAACAATTTTCTGATGGTCGGAAAATGCTTCCAATCAGTGAAGATGCAATATAAAGGTAGCAATAATAGCTAGCTTTATTAGAAATATTTTGAAGACATTTTAAATAATATGAAATAGTCGTATCTATCTCTAAAAAATATTAACCTTTTAATTTTACGCATACGTATGTTTTGCATAAATTTACTCTACCTCTCTACTATATAAGAGTCGTGCAATAATATTACAGCAACAGCGTCGCTGGTAATATTAGTGAACTATCATTTCTCAGCAATGTTTCCAGCAAGATACAATTTTGATAGCTCGTTGACGTGCTCTTTGACAATATACCCTACTAGCTGTTCCTCGCGACTTCGCCCGCGTGTAGTTTAGGGTTTTAGTTATGTTACGCGGAATTCTAACTCTTTTTCTAAAATAAAGTAGCCTAAGTTACTCCTTATAGTATCAGCTATCTGTCAGTGAAAGTCCCGTCGAAATCGGTCCAGCCGTTTCTGAGATTAGCCGGAACAAACAGACAGACAGACAAAAACTTTAAAATTTGTATTTTTGTTATAAGTACCGTATATATTTTCATATGCATTTAGTAAAAAAAAAATATTTTGACATTACAAACAGACACTCAATTTTATTTATTTGTATAGATTACAATGTGTTTAGATCTACAATTCGTCAAACTTTTTGTCATCAGGAATAATGAGAAGCGGAAGGAAAAGTCCCGAGTGGCGGCCCGCTGCCGCCGCACAAAGGAGATGCAAATCTTTGCGGAACTGACCGCCGCGCTACCCGCCAAAAAGGAAGAGGTGGAACAGTTGGACAAGGCATCCGTTATGCGCCTGGCCATCTCATACCTGCGCGTGCGGGATGTCGTTTCCATGTGTAAGTTTTTATTAACTTTTATTTAATTATACCTAGTCAGGTCATAAATTCTGTCACATGTTTAATATAAAATAATTGAAACAAGTTTATTCATTATGTAACCATTTATATACCAAAATGAACTTAACAAAACATCTTATGACACTAAAGTTTATTCAAAATGACCTCCGTGATTTTGAATACAGGCCTTCAATCTGCGCGGCTAGTCGTCTATCGCATCACGAACGGGGTCCATGTCAATATCGGCGGATGCCTTAATCAAGGATGTCTTGAGTGACTCCAAATTGGGATGAGGCTTTGAGCACGCCTTTTCCTCCAAGTGTTGCCATATCTTGTAATCTAACGGATTCAAATCTGCACTGGAGGAGTGCCAGTCTTCGTGCCGGATGAAGTCGATTTCACGCGCCGCCAGCCAGTCTTGTATGCTCTTCGCTCTATGAGCTGGCGCCGAATCTTGTTGGAATACCCAGTGCCTGTTATTGAACATGGTATGAGAAACAGGTTACACAAGGTTCGTCAGGACTTGATACACAACTGCATTCGTTTTTACACCTTTCTCACAAAAATGTACCTCTGTTAAGCCCCTATAAGAAACTCCCAACCGTACCATGAGCGACGATGGAAAATGACCTCGTTGGACACGCGGAATACGGTTACTCGCTTCTTTACTACTGTGTGCGTACATCTTATCATTTTGCTTGTTGTAGCTCTCTTCTACGGTAAAATTTTTTTCATCCGTAAAAAGAATTTCCCGATACTTTTTTCCCGCGTACCGCTTCAACAAAGCGCGGCATCTCTTCAGTCTCAGGTCCATTAGACGAGCATTCAAACTATGTCCTGTTTTTCTTCGATATGCCCGAAGCCCAAAGCTTCATTTAACACCCTTTTCACCGTGGTTCTGCTTAACCCCATCTGAAGGGCCAACAGTTTCTGCTTACGTTTGGGATTTCTTTGAATTCGCGCCTTTACAGCTTTTATCACTGCTGGAGTCCTAACAGACCGAGGGCGACCACTTCTTGACCTGTCATCTACACTAGAGTCTTCATTGTATCGTTTGATGGTACGATAAACGAATCTTTTGGTTATATTCAAATTTTTCAGTAAGTCAAAAATTTTAATTGGCGCGTAACCGCAACGATGCAAGGCAATAACTGTAACACGGTCTTCTTTAAGCGTCCACTCCATATTTAAAAATGAGTAAAATTCTAAAAAGTATATAGTTTTATTTTCATGAACAATTCGAAATTCGAATTCAATAAACTTTTTTGTGGCCAGCATTCTAAAAGAGAAGTTTTTACTGTGTGACAATACTTATGACCTGACTAGGGATTTATATATTAAAATTAGTAGTTTAAGTGTTTAATACATAATTACTACAGAAGTAGCTACAAATTTTGCGACAGGGTTCTCGGTCTAATAATATTATTAAACTCTTGCGTTAATAGATAGAACTCTGCTCCGTTTCTTATTCTTTTTTTTTTTTTTTTTTTTTTTATAGGAGAGGGGGCAAACGAGCATGCGGCTCACCTGATGGTAAGTGACTACCGCCGCCCATGAACAACCGCAACACCAGGGGAATTGCAGATGCGTTGCCGGCCTTTTAAAAAGGAGTAGGCTCTTTTCTTGAAGGTCCCTAAGTCGTATCGGTCCGGAAAAATCCCTGGTGGTAAACTATTCCACAAGGAAGTTGTGCGAGGAAGAAAACATCTTCTAAATCGCACAGTGGTGGACCGCCAATCATCCAGATGGTGTGGATGGTATCGGGAGTTCTGCCGCGATGTGCGTTCGTGAAATTAGGCGGCTGGGATTAATCCGAACAATTCCTCAGAGCACTCCCCATGGTAGATGCGAAAGAAAATGCAAAGAGATGCAACATCTCTTCGCAGTGCCAGTGAATCGAGCCGATCGGAAAGGGCTCGGTCGTCGACGAGTATTCTGAATGAGTTGTACAAAATGATCATGAGTAACGAGACAATTTTCGTCCTCGTGGGGGGAAATTGATGTATTGGTCGTTTTATCATTAAGAATGCACAATGATCGCTCAACGGCAATAGTGAGCAGCAAGTGGCCCTGAGTTTGTTTGTCTACAAAATAAAAGATAATATTAAGGTTAACTTTAATGCACTACAAGAAGTAGAGATTATCTAGTTTAAACCTGCACGCACCTCCCTTGTATTTCTGGTAAATTTTATAATATTTACCCTATCACCATACCATACCGTACCTAAAATCGTAATATACGCGCTCTATCTATGGTGTTTATTTTTATCTGGGGGCACGGCAGTGCCCCCGCCAATTCGAGCAAAAAAGCGGCACGGCCGTACTATCCTTTTCTCGAAACAGTTCAGGCCATTTTCGAAACTCTATAATTTCGTTGTGGATAAAACTAGAAACCTCAATTTTCAGTAACCAAGTAGGCATTGTATTGACTCGGTACATTTCAAATTTCATTAAATTTGAACCAGTAGTTTAAGAATTACGAGGACTGCACTAAAAGTATCGGGAATGGAATATTTCCACTGTTCCTGTCATATTAATTTTTTTTTAATTGAAAAGTCCTTGGTTTTAAAAATCGAATACCATTTATTTACCAGAAGGAAGTTAGCGTAGAACATTATTTTTTTAAATTTAATTGTATACCAATTAATTGCTCCTTAAATGCTCCAGCAGAATCCGAAATTGCTCCACCTCTATTGTTATTAGTTATTTTATAATTAATTTTTAAAAAAATTAAGTATCAAAAATTTAATTTTGCTATAAAGTATAAAATATCTACTTTTTTAAATTAAACTGTATGCCAATTAATTGCTCCTTAAATGCTCCAGCAGAATCTGAAATTGCTCCACCTCTATTGTTATTAGTTATTTTATAATTAATTTAAAAAAAAATTAAGTATCAAAAATTTAATTTTGCTATAAAGTATAAAATATCTACTTTTTTAAATTAAACTGTATGCCAATTAATTGCTCCTTAAATGCTCCAGCAGAATCCGAAATTGCTCCACCTCTATTGTAATTAGTTAATTTATAATTAATTTAAAAAAATTAAGTATCGACAATTCAATTTTGCTATAAAACATAAAATATCTACGTTTTAAAATTAAACTGTATGCCAATTATTTGCTCCTTAAATGCTCCAGCAGAATCCGAATTTGCTCCACCTCTATTGCTATTAGTTAATTTATAAATAATTTTGAGAAAGAGTGATCCCAATTGATTAATAGCGCCATCATCAATAGAATGTAGTAACATTCTATAGTAAAAGTCATTTTATCGAATAAAAATTGATTGACTCTCAAAAGTGGTACGTATAATAGATGCTAAATGGCATAAACCCAAAAATTAATATTGATGGGTGAGTTTTGAAATTATGGATTCTTAGGAATGGATTAGACAACCATCTTAATAATTTTTTTGTGTTAGTGCCATCTAGCGTCTTTTCTACGTACCACCATGAGAGTTAACCAATTTTGATTTGATAAAATGACTACTTATAGAAAAAAAGAAATAGATGGTGCTATTAAAAAAATACGTATATAATAAATAGTAATTACCTAATTAACAAACAAAACAGATATGTCTCTTCTTAAGATCGAAGAAGCTGATGCACTGTGACACATCTGTATATAATTTTATGTAAATAATGTAGGCCATACAAATAATTGTTCCTGGTCTGGATGTTTGTCCTTGTGAAATTTATGTTTGTAAACTGCCTCCACGACACAGGAGAAAATCCTAGTGTGGGGGTAACGTTTTTTTACAATTGAAATTGAAAGATTGAACCCTTATACTTCTTGTTGATTTTTGTATTACCTTTATTAAAGTTACCCTTATGAATAAATAAATATAATTACGTATGTAGAAATAAAATTGATTTTCATCCTCATCAATCATTGGGGCGAGGATAATGTCTGCCAGCATAAGTAATAAGCAGGCTAAGTTACAAGGTGCTCAGTTCAAAAATTTGTAGGTAGGTATGTTACTTTTCAATACGTGACACGTAAAAATTAACAATAATCAAAAACACATCTGCGAAACATCCTATTTATTTATTTATTCTTTCTTGCACCAAATATTTGTACAAAAGGCGAGCTATCTATTTATTTACCTATAGTGAATAGGTCTAATCTTTTAAACTCACAATTTTCAATGCTTCATTTTTAATATATAATTAATTATAAAATTTCATAATTACATAATATATGAAAATACATAATTCTAATATAATGCAACAAATATACCGAATAAAAAAATTCAAATACATTTATCGTCGTACGCTGTGTGTATTTCCATAAATTAGTTTATTGATGTTGAAAAAATAATACTACGTTCTTACCTACAATAGGGCAATATATTGAAACGAGCGGCGCGCCGCCGGCTAAATGCTCAAGGTCGTTCGCATGGAGTAGCCCCTTAAGAAATAGTCTCGTACACTTACTTAGCTGTCATGTTGCCTATTCGTTTATTCGAATTTCCATCTTAGCTTTATATTTATATATTTTTATTAATTTTCTCAGTGTTAAATTTAAAAAAAAGTATAAATTATGTTAATACTTATGTATATTATGTAAGTTATTTATATGTATCTATACTTAATATGCGGTGGTCTTGTTCTTCAAGAAAGGTGACAACGCTCTCTTGAAGAACTACAGACCGATTTCCCTTCTGAGCCGCGTCTACGTGCTGTTTTCGAGAGTCATTACGAATCGTCTCGCGCGCAGACTTGACGACTTCCAGCCTCCCGAACAAGCCGGTTTCCGAAAGGGCTTTAGCACCATAGACCACATACATACCCTTCGGCAAGTTGTACAGAAGTCCGAAGAGTACAATTTGCCACTATGTCTGGCGTATGTGGACTATGAGAAAGCCTTTGATTCCGTCGAAATTTGGGCGGTGCTGCAGTCCCTTCAGCGGTGCCAAGTTGACTGTCTGTATATCGAAGTGTTGAAGTGCTTGTACAGTAGGGCTACGATGGCTATCCGAGTACAGAACCAGAATACG